CAGGGTCAACCTAAGTCTGAAATGACTTGAAAGCACACAACAAAAATCCTATCTCATCAGCCAAAAGCAGGCCCACACTTCCCACTGAAATACTAATAAGTTTGTATGTGTTAAAATTGTTCTTCATTTTAATTATTGTATTGTTTTTAAGTGGTTTTTTTTGCACTACAAATAAAATATGTGCAGTGTGCATAGGAATTCATTCATGCTTTTTTCAAATTATAATCCGGCCCTCCCAACAGTTTGAGGGATGGTGACCTGGCTCTCTGTTTAAAAAGTTTGAGGACCCCTGGTCTAAACCATGGCATAAAAGTGGTCAAAGTATGGCTTAATCTGATGACTATAACTGGCATATAGTTCTAATAGGATACCTTGAAGACTTCATATAGTTTAACCCGACTGAAATAAATGACCTTTCGAAAAGTTCTAGATTTGGCTCAGTTCAACAGTATTACAAAGGTTTAATACCCATCAAGTATGGAGATGATATAAGCAAACTGGCCCGTGTCCTTGAATTCAGGCTGACAATTTAAAATATACTTGTTCCCATAGAAAAATGTCCCCATTTCACCCCATGTTTAGCAATACTGTCTCATCCAAAACAGCGAAAGCCCCGGCCCTGTCCCTTTTGACCTTCAATAGAACCAGAAGAACAAACTTGTCTCCTCTAAAACAATGCATTCATTTGCTATCTTGTAAGGCAACAAATCCGGCAACATGACATTGATAAGGCATTGAGGATTGCACAGTAGCCTATCTTTGGAGAAGGAGGTGCCGAGAGAACAGGACGTACAAAATATGTTAGAACAGTCAGATCAGTACAACACTCCTCTTAACGTTATATGAATAAGGACCTTTCAAATGGTAGGTGCTGTTTTTACAATTTCAGACTGTCCTCTTGAGCAAGGAAAGACAACCTATCTAGACATGATGATCGAAACAGTGAGGGAAACTACATGTTACACTTAACACGGAGGCCACTGCTGAAACTGTTAGCCCTGCATGAGCGTTGTCTCCTCTACGCCATAAAGCAAAGTATGCAGGAATGCTTATCTCTTGCCCTTCTTTGCTTCTCTACCTGTTCTGCTTCTGGCTTTTTGGGTGATTTATAGCTACAGGGGAGTAAAAAGGGAATGTGATGAGTTTTTGGCAGAAGCCCCATCTCAAGAATAACACAGAGTGCTGGATAATATGTGCAAGCCTTTCCCAACTAACCTCTTGAACATAGGCAGCACCATAACCATTAATAATGGATGTCACAGAAGCAGGCTTATCTCCACACAAGAACGTGTCTCCTCCTGGAAGCTGATATGACTGTTGACTAAAGATGACATAGCAATGTTGTTTGCAAATTTCTTGCTTGCCTTATTTTTTAAAAAAATGAACTGGAATTCAATGTATTGTCGAAGACTTTCATGGCTGGAATCACTGGGTTGTTGTAGGTTTCTTCAGGCTATATGGCCATATTCTAGAGGCATTCTCTCCTGACGTTTCGCCTGCATCTATGGCAAGCATTCTCAGAGGTAGTGAGGTCTGTTGGAACTAGGAAAATGGAAAGACCAGGGTGGGACAAAGGACTCTTGTCTGCTAGGTGTGAATGTTTCAACTGACGACCTTAATTAGCATTTGATAGACTGGCAGTGCAGGCAAAACGCCAGGAGAGAATGCCTCTAGAACATGGCCATATAGCCCGAAAAAACCTACAACAACCCAACTGGAAAGTTGATGTGCAATTTGGTTTTCCTATTGTTTGCCTTGGACCGCGAGAAGATCCAACCAATCCATGCTTCAGGAAATAAAGCCCGACTGCTCATTCGAGGGAAGGATAGTAGAGACAAAGATGGAGTACTTTGGCCACATCATGAGAAGAAAGGAAAGCTTAGAGAAGACAATGATGCTGGGGAAAATGGAAGGAAAAAGGAAGAGGGGCTGACCAAGGGCAAGATGGATGGATGATCCTTGAAGTGACTGGCTTGACCTTGAAGGAGTTGGGAGTGGCGACAGCTGACAGGGAGCTCTGGCGTGGGATGGTCCATGAGGTCATGAAGAGTCGGAAGTGACTGAACAAATGAACAACAAATGGACTTATGTCTGTAAGAAACAGACTTGAACAGTTTCACAGTATACATATTTAGCAAGGAGCAATTGTAGCATTACTATGTAGGGGAGCCAGTGAAGTGACCACGGAGAGCTGTGCATCAGGACTGATGCCCAACAGAACCAATATACATCGGGACTGATGCACAACAGGATTGATGTACATTGGGATGATCTGCCTAGCCAGTGGCCTGATACCCATATTCACAATTCATTAGGAGGGTTTCTTAGCACTTCTCTTACATAGTTTAGTTTGCGTTAACATAAATTACGACAGAGCATTCTGCTCTATTTTATTTTTAATTCAAAACCTTTGAAACAATTGAATCTCCTTCTTTGGAGGCTTTTAAACAGAGGCTGGATGACCATCTGTCGGGGGTGCTTTGAATGCGATTTTCCTGCCTCTTGGCAGGGGGTTGGACTGGATGGCCCACGTGGTCTCTTTCAACTCTATGATTCTAGGAGTGCTTTGTTTGTCCCTGCATCGCAGAAGGGGGTTGGATTGGATGGTCCTTGTGGTCTCTTCCAACTGTATGATTCCTTTATTCTACATAACTATTAATGGTCCAAAGATGTCTCCGCTTTCCACTATGGTAATCCGAGGGGCTGTGAAGTTGAGACACAGTGGTCCCCATAAATGCAATTTTTCAGCTGAACCATTGACAAAGGTTGCCCATGGGGTCAGTTAATAAAGAAGTTACAACGGGTACAACGGGCAGCAGCCAAGCTCCTTACTGGAGAAAACTATAGGGAGCATACAACGCCTCTATTAAAACAGCTTCATTGGCTGCCAAAATGTTGCCAAGCCAAATTCAAGGTGTGGGCCCCGCCTATCTTTGCGATGGACTGGCACGAACTCTAAGATCCTCTGGGGAGGCCCTCCTCCTGCTCCCACCTCTGTCACAAGCACAGTTGGTGGAGACGAGAGAGGGCCTTCTCGGTCGTGGCCCCCTGCCTCTTTAAAGCTCTTCCAAGGGAAATAAGACAGGGCCCATCCCTCCCCTCTTTTCGTAAGAGTTTGAAGACTTGGTGGTTTCAACAAATATTCGAGAGTGACCAGTGCTAGCTCAGTCCAGACACTGTCCAGACACGACCTAGCTCCCTATATATTACACTGGTCAGTTGTGACCAGCAGTGCTGCAGAATTTGAAGAGGCACGAATGGAGGGTGAAAGAGAGAAACGTGCCAAGAGGAAAGTGGGTTAAGCCAATCCCAACCGAGCGCGCCTTCCACCTGGAAACCAATGCCCTCACTGTGGGAGAAGATGCAGGTCAAGAATAGGGCTCCACAGCCACCTACGGATCCACAAGAATACTGATCCTGGAAGACTATCCTACTCATCCAACGAGGGATTGCCTAAGTGAAGTGACCCTGGTCATTCTCCTAACAGGTCCCTGGAAATAACCCATCCTTGCTTTTGCCATTTACCTATTACAGTACTGTACCCAAATTTGTATCAGTCTTCACCCAGACTTTTAATTGTTCTGGCCCATTCCTTTTCCATGCCCGTACAAATAGACATGAAGAGCAGGCAGGATTTTTCCTTTTAATATTCATGTGTTGTTGGGAAATTCATGCTTATGTTGCTGTTACTGTTATTTTTTGATCGATTTGTGACTGTATGTTTTGATGATGTTGCTTGGAAACCGCCCTGAGTCCGCCCGGGGTGACAGAGTGGTATATAAATAAAGTTTTATTATTGTTATTGTTTTCAAAGTTGTATGAGAAAACCTCCTGCTCCTCTCTGCCATATTGCTGAACACTAAATTGTGCTGGTTTCAAAGCAAAGCACTTGGGCGTTTTGAATATATGAAGACTAGAGCCTTATTCAGATGCTCTGCAATCTATTCTGAGTGATCAGGAGGAGAGAGTGAATGCAAACTGAGCAAAAGGAGGAGAATCTCTCTACATGTGGAGAACCTTCATGCATTTTGGACGGCCCCTCTCCACAGGGACAGAGAAAGAGATGGGATTAGAATGACCCCTTTCTTGATGTGTTTACTTAGAGCAGATTACCAAGCAAGAGGTGGTGCTGACAACTCTGAAGTCTTAACAATCATGATAGGATTAGGTCATGTGTTTCGGAGCACTAGGATTTCCATCTGGAAGGCAGAACTTTCCAAAGTACAGGCAGTCCCCGAGTTACAAATATTTGACTTACAAACAACTCATAGTTAAGAACAGGAAATGCGATAAATCTGCCCCTTGGAGTGGAAATCCACTCCTGGAAAAAAAATTTGTTGGGTTTTTTTCGGGCTATATGGCCATGTTGTAGGTTTTTTCGGGCTATATGGCCATGTTCTAGGGGTATTCTCTCCTGACGTTTCAACTGCATCTATAGCAAGCATCCTCAGAGGTAGTGAGGTCTCACTACCTCTGAGGATGCTTTCCATAGATGCAGGCGAAACGTCAGGAGAGAATGCCTCTAGGACATGGCCATATAGCCCGAAAAAACCTACAATAACCCAGTGATTTCGGCCATGAAAGCCTTTGACAAAATTGTTGTTGTTTATTTGTTCAGTGGCTTCTGACTCTTTGTGACCTCATGGACCAGCCCACGCCAGAGCTCCCTGTCTGCAGTGGCCACCCCCAGCTCTTTCAAGGTCAAGCCAGTCACTTCAAGGATACCATTCATTCATCTTGCCCTTGGCTAGCCCCTTTTTTCTTCCATTTTCCCCAGCACCATTATCTTCTGCAAGCTTTTCCGTCTTCTCATTATATGGCCAAAGTACTTCATCTTTGCCTCTAATATCCTTCCCTCCAATGAGAAGTCGGGTATTATTTCCTGGAGTATGGACTGGTTTGATCTTCTTGCAGTCCAAGGCACTCTCGGAATTATCATGGAAGAATTATCATGGGAAAAAGGTATCTCCACTGAGGCTTTATCACCAATCTTTTTATCCACAACAAGCCACATTTTTCAAAATCTATTTATCTCAGGGACAGAAAATAAGATGAAATCTTCTGAACAGGGGCACAGACGGCAAAGCAAACACCACAGGGGTGTTAATCCTTTCCTATCCAAAGCTTCTATATGTGTGTGTAGCTACACTTTAAAATGTACCTTTCCAACTTACATACATATTCAACGTTAAGAACAAACATAAAGAACCTATCTTGTTCTTAATTTGGGGACTGCATGTCCTGAAAGTGGTCATTCTTTGCTTGAAGATCCAGGGTGACCATTTGGGCCACGGTTATTGCTGAGTTCTCAGAGGAGCAAAACTCCACAAACTCACTTCTATGATAAGCAGAATCCAAATTAATGCTCCTTTGAAGCTTATCACAATGCAAAATGAAACCTAGTTACTGCATATAACCCAGAGCAGTCATACAAACTGTGCAGAGTCATTGGCATCACATGTTGAACTGAGCATATACAAAAGCATGCCTCCAGCCACTGTTTTTGTTTTTTAATCCAGTACTGCCCCACACTAGATTTCCCAGATTTCAGAACAGGGAACGTTTCCAGCTCTGGCCCTATCTACACTACCATATAATGCACCGAACTGGATTATATGAGTCTACACTGAAGTTAAACCTCATTCTGAAACTTCATTATACGGCAGTGGAGATGGGGCTTCTGTTAGTTCGAGTCAGTTTCCAATGGAGATGCCAAAGGAACTGAATGCAAGACTTAATCGTGCAAATCGATAGCTCTACTCATTGAGCTAAGTGCCTTCCATAGTAAAACATACAGGAACTAAATCTGCATTCATTTTAAGCCAACTCTTGCTAAATACACCATACTCAACCCACTGAACTATTCTTGCTCTAAGCCGGTGGCGCAATGGGTTAAACCCTTGTGCCGGCAGGACTGCTGACAGTGGGGTGAGCTCCCATTTGTCAGCTCCAGCTTCCCATGTGGGGACATGAGAGAGGCCTCCCACAAGGATGGTAAAACATCCAGGCGTCCCCTGGTCAACGTCCTTGCAGACGGCCAATTCTCTCACACCAGAAGCAACTTGCAGTTCCTCAAGTCGCTCCTGACACGGAAAAAAAAAGCCTTGATGAAATCCAAGTAGCTTATGTTCAAGTAATATGCAAAAAGATTGGGAGTGCTTGTTATTTCATTATCTATTTACACAAACAACTTTCTCTAAAAAGGAAAGTAAGAAGTGGTTCACATTCAAATGTAAAGAGCTTAAGAGAAAGTTCACAAAGTGCCTTCCATACTACCGTCCCCACCCCAAACCCCACTCTCTACTGCAAATGGACATGAGATACAAAACAAATTCTTACATGAACCCCAATCAGGCAGCATGAATTATTTCATTAGAACTTGCACGGTCAGCATTTGGAAAGACAGCAAGTTATCATTATCTAAGAAATGGGAATGGAGACTTCTTGTTTAATCACTTCTAGGATAAGTTAACACAGAAAAAAAGCAGAGCCCAACCTACACCAGTGCGGGTTCTCCCTGCTTCAGGACATTCTTTTAAAAGGTTATCTGGCTAGATAAATTTACTCAGAAAATGGAGGAAACATGCCCAGATCAGCAAAATCTTCAATGTTGTAATTCCCCGTCCCCTGTGTTGGATCACCTGGGATAGGTAACATATCCTAGAAGATAAAGAGAAGTAAAATAATATGTTATTTTCTTGTTTTCTTATCTCAGGCATCTTTCCATCTACAAAACTAAAGGAACAGACTGGAAGCAAAAATATAAGAAAACAGACTTCATTCAAAATATCAGAAACTACCAGTGTTTGACATACCGTACATATTTGAGTATAAGCCGAGTTTTTCAGCTCTTTTTTTAGGCTGAAAAAGTTCCCTCGGCTTACACTCGAGTCAAGGTTGTTTATTATTTTACTCTGTTGTTGCTGTTCTTGTTGTTATTCTTATTATTATATTACATGTATTATTTTACTCTATTTATTATTATTATTATTGTTATTACATTTACATTATTTTACTGTATTATTATTATTATTATTATTACATTTATTTTTTACTCTATTTATTATTGTTTATTTATTTACTTCATTTTTACCCCACTTTTCTCACCCCTCAGGGGACTCAAGGCAACTTACAACTCTGGCAAGAATTCAATGCCAGCAAAATCAACAATAAACTATAAAAACATCCTCTCAGTTAAAACCAATTAATAGTTAATATAAAACACATAAAAACAGTATATAAAATTAACATATAAAGTGCACAGTTCCATTAACATATAAAGTGCATAGTTCCAGTTGTTATTATTACAGTTATTATTTAACTCTATTTATTATTGTTATCATTATATTTATTATTTAACTCTATTATTATTTATTATTATTACATTCATTATTTTACTCTATAAATATTATTACATTATTATTTTACTTTATTTATCATTATCATTATTATTACATGTACATTATTTTACTCTATTAAAATTATTATTATTACATTTATTATTCTACTCTATTATTATTGGAAGGATACGTAAGCACATTTCCATTGAAGAAGGTTAGAAGACTGGTTTCATCAGAGTTGGGCAGTCTTATCTTAAATTACGGTTTAATGTAAATATTCAAAAATATTTAACATACTGATGCCTCATTTTATTGGTATATATTTTTATTTTGAAATTATTTTGAAATTATTTTGAAATGCAGCAGTTACCAGTAACTGCTGCATTTCCCACCCTCGGCTTATATGCAAGTGAATACGTTTTCCCAATTTTTTGTGGTAAAATTAGGTGCCTTGGCTTATATTCGGGTCGACTTATAATTGAGTATATACGGTATGTCCTGAATCTGCAATTCTGAATCCAGAAGTAAGCAAATAAACATATTTGGCTCATTTCAATTCATCTCATTTCAGATACTGTTCTTCTCAGAAGATATCAGAACTTAGAAAGTTACTTTTTTGACCAGTTCCCAGAACTCAATGGCAACTTGGTGATTCAGGGAGTTTTAGTCTGCACCCTGCACCCGCCCTTGCAAAAAAAAATAATCTCAAACTCATCGGAGTGATACATTCTAGTTGCCATTCCACTGTATTTCAGGCTTAGTTTTACAAAGCTGTCTCATAATAAGCTTAATATTATCACCCAGCCACTGTTTCTTGTGACTTGTGAAAAAGAAACAGCAGGACATTTCTAAACATGAACAGCAGAATGGTTTTGTAAATCTGTTCTGCACCTTTAAAAAATTGATTTTTTTTAGCAGTGATGCTTGAAATCACCTGGAATACTTCTGTCTGGCTTGTTTGCTGGTGTGGGTGCTGCTCACTGTTCTGCTGGTTGTGATGCTGGCTTTGCCACTGGGACCACACTTCTGAAGGCCTCCCTTGAAACTGCCCGCTGCTTTGACTGCTCTCAGCTGAAAGAAACCCATCCCCAAATATTAAAAGAGTATAATTTTGGATTTTTTAAAAAACTTTATTTCTCCACTTCCAGTATTATTTCAAACCAAATATCCATTCCTGTTTCTCTGGTGTTTCAAACTGTGGGTCCCAATCCCTTAAATCACTATTTCTCAACTTGGGGGTCGGGACCCCTGGGGGGTCGTGAGGGGGTGTCAGAGGGGTTGCCAAAGACCATCAGAAAACACAGTATTTTCTGTTGGTCATTGGGGTTCTATGTGGGAAGCTTGGTTCAATTCTATTGTTGGTAGGGTTCTTTGGTTGTAGGCGAACTATAAATCCCAGAAACTACACATCCCAAATGTCAAGTCTGTTTTCCCCAAAACTCCACTAGTGTTCACTTTTGGGCATATTGAGTATTTGTGCCAAGTTTGGTCTTTGGCTCTGGGGGATTCTAAAAGTAATGGATTAGGTCCAAGGTGAACATGTTTGGCCCTTGCACCGCGAGCTTTAGCAGCCGAGTGACTAGTTTGCTTGCCTACTTAGCTATTTAAAGCTTTGTGTTATCACCAAATCTGAAAGTTCCATGTAATAATAGTAGTGGAGAAAGAAAAGAAAAACAGTACACGGGATAACAGAGGTAGTAGTGGCAGCGATAGCAGTTTACTTCAATCCCATGTCATACTTACCAAATCCTGCTGTTCTGTTAGCTAGGCTGGAATAGGCGTTGCCACTTGGAGAAGAGGTGGCAGGACTAGACAGGGGACTGTAGGATGCTGGATCAGCGGGATAGGTGTGGCTGGTTCCAATCGCGAAGGGAGAAGATTGAGCCTTGCCAGATTGTGAAGCAATTTGCTGAAGAGGAGTAAGGTGGAAGAGGGGAAGCAAAAAGACATTATTTTTCTGGATTTCTGACACAGGAATGTGGGTGCAATAGAATTCCAGTCTTATCAAAGACAACATAATTGTGAAATAAGAGACTTTGTGGTCATTTCATCCTTAATTATGCTGCAGCAATGTGCACTCAAAGTCAATTCCGTTTGCCCTGAGTCGAACTCTATCCTTGCCCTTTTTCTCTCTGACAATTCACCTATGCACTCCCTCTGGGTCTACAGCCAAGGAGGAGAGAGCAAGATGTGGGAAGACCTCTGCTCCTTTCCCTTGACATGCTATTTTTTCACAGTCTTGGAAAGGGCAAAATTCAAGAAGAGACATAAAAAAGAAGAAGGCCAGAAGGTTTTTTGATCGTGTAATTAAAAAAAAAAAAAACTTGAAAGGGAATGCAGAATTTCCCTGAGTTTAACATGCACAAATGAGAAGACCAAAACAAAAAAAGCTGATAGTGCAGCCAGCTTTAACTAATTTAAAATCTAAGGAAACCATTATAAATCTTTAAAAGTCCAAGTTTGTATTCAGGAAGTGCAAAGGGGGAAGGCACCCTAGCTCTCACCCCATATGTATACATTTCCCTACTTTTCAATTTGAGGAGAAAATCCTGGTGGGTTCACCTGCCTGATGCCCAAGCTGAGGACTGTGAGCCATTTTTTTTGGACAACCATTAAAGGAAATGGTGTAAAGCCATGTTTCATATGCCCTTAAATGTGAATTAAAGCCATTCGCATTGATGTCCCTTCACTATTTGCTTTGGGGAATGTGTTAGAAAGTGATATACGAACAAGATATTCCCTTCCAAATGATAGTTTTCTCTCACTTCCTGTTGTCTCATCCCCGTTCTTAACTAGGAGCTGTTTGTAAGTCGAATGTTTGTAACTCCACAACTGCGTGTATTACTAAAGAAATGTAGTATTATTTTTCCAACAAGCAGATTAAAAAGTAACTTTCACACCTGTCCGGGGAATGGAGGACGGCTCCCTGTCCAGGCCACTTGGCTCTGATTGAGTTGTCGAGAGATCTGGGTCAAGTTCTGGCTTGTCGATGATGAGGACTGAATGTCGTTGACTCCTGGCACGTGGACCACAGATGAGCTGGAAAGAGGAAAATGGACTTGAAGGCTCAGGGAGACTCACTTTGGTGCACTGAGACCTTTACAGGAGAGGAAGTATGGAACAGAGAGTGATACTTCCTTCTGGTTAACCTTCCAGGGGAAATATGTAGTTGAGGAACAAAGTTAAATTTGGCAGGCCCACCACCAGTTTTTTCCTTTTACATGCTTTCTTTTCGCTTTTTCTCTCTCACTTTTCAGTAGAGCTTTCTTTTCACTACAGCTTGAGTTTTCACTCAACTACAGAAGGGGAAAAACCGGAGTGAAACAGGTTTTTGGACCATCTTTCAAATCTCCATTGGTATTACACATTGATGATGGAAAGAAACTGGCATTATTTGTGATCCTAATAATACAATTATTTGCTATATCTTACGTAATTATATACACTACCTGAAAGTTTTTCCAGAATGTCCTGGCTGGAAGGGACTCCCTTGAGAGTAGATCTGCTGGCTTCCTCCTGTGGAGGCTGAAGGCATCATCTTTTTATCAGCTGCAAGAATAACCCACAGGTCAGAGAAGTTTCAGGATTATCCAGCTGAATGAATCAATGCACAGCACAAGTATGTTTCTTGATACCAGAAATTTGTCTATAATTTCTGGTCCCTAAACAAAAAAAGGTGTCTGTTCACTAGAAAAGGATGGTGGCACTCTTTTGGATGATGTAGGCAGATGCCATGGGTTTTCTTCAGGTTCGGTGGTAAACACACAGTGATATCAGATGGACTGCTGCTAAATCTGTCTCTTTAAAACATGGCTGGGCAATAGGACAGGAAGCAGAGGCCATTTTCCATCTCTGTATCTGCCCAATGTAACACACCAGAATCTTTTGGTGTGCCTGAAGTGACACATAATGCTGATGTATTTTTGGATCCTCTTCCTTCTTCCTGTGCAGGGAAAGTTTGGAGGATATATTGTCAAAGGCTTTCATGGCCAGAACCACTGGGTTGTTGTAGGTTTTTCCGGGCTATATGGCCAGGTTCTAGAGGCATTTTCTCCTGACGTTTCGCCTTCATCTATGGCAAGCATCCTCAGAGGTAGTACCATACCATTCATAACAGTAGCAAAATGACAGTTATGAAGTAGCAATGAAAATAATATTAGGGTTGGGGGTCACCACAACATGAGGAACTGTACTAAGGGGTCGTGGCATTAGGAAGGTTGAGAACCACTGTTCTAGAGGCATTCTCTCCTTACATTTCGCTTGCATCTCTGGCAAGCATCCTCAGAGATTGTGGGACCTCACTACCTCTGAGGATGCTTGCCATAGATGCAGGCGAAACGTCAGGAGAAAATGCCTCTAGAACACGGCCATATAACCCGGAAAAACCTACAACAACCCAAAGTTTGGAAGGTTAAAGCAAGCATTTATAGGCAATTTGGAAGAATTGGGGGCAAACAAAAATCATTTGAGAATTGCAAAATGAAATTTTGGAGGTAGTACCCCAACAACTTGCTAAAGAAATTGATAAATAACATAGAATCACAGAGTTGGAAGAGACCACATGGGCCATCCAGTCCAACCTCCTCCCAAGAAGCAGGAAAATTACATTCAAAGCACCCCTGACAGATGGCCATCCAGCTTCTGCTTAAAAGCCTCCAAAGAAGGAGCCTCCACCACACTCAGCGGCAGAGAGTTCCACTGCTGAACAACACTCACACTCAAGAAGTTCTTTCTAATGTTCAGGTGGAATCTCCTTTCCTGTAGTTTGAAGCCCTTGTTCCATTGCATCCTAGTCTCCAAGGCAGCAGAAAGCAAGCTTGCTCCCTCCTCCCTATGACTTCCTCGACCATGACCTAAGTTCCTCCACTCTCGAATGACCCAAGGTGCTCTTTATCCTTGCCCTGCAAGGTTCAAAATGTGCATTTTCAAGGGATAACTATGATGCAAGCAAACCAGCCAGCAATGTGTGCTTGCTGACCTCACCAGGAGCATTACATATGTTAACTGCACTGCTCTGTTTCCTGTGGGAGTGAGTCATGGGTAGAATAGATTCAATGAATAGCTGCTGACTGAGGAAGCATACAATTCTGCTTAGCCTTATTTGACTTGGTCTAAAGCCATCTAATAAATGTAAGGGTCATAAAATACACTAAAAGCAACATTATATACTAAACTGCAGATTCACAGAAAATGTTGCATAACTCTTGCAGACAGTATTCTCTGAAATGGGCCTTCTGAATTCAACTAATTTTTATTCATGTTTGTGGGTAGGAAGCAAATGAATGGCTGTCAAAGTAAATCTGGTTCTTCTTCAGAATCACAGATTTGGAAAAAGACCCCCCAAGGAACATTCAGACCAACCCCATTTTGTCATGCAGGAAAACACAATCAAAGCACCACGGACATAAAGCAACCTATTCTCAACCTTCCTAATGTCACAACAGTTCCTCATGTTGTGGTGACCCCCAATAATAAAATTATTTTCATTGCTACTTCATAATTGTAATTTTGCTAATGTTATGAATCGTAATGTAAATATGTGATATATAGGATGTATTCTTCATTCACTGGATCAAATTTGGCACAAATATCCAATATGCCCAAATTTGAATACTGGTGGAGTTGGGGGATTGATTTGTCTTTTGGGAGTTGTAGTTTCTGGGATTTATAGCTCAGTTGGAAAAAGAGCATTCTGAACTCCACCAATGATGGAATCGAACCAAACTTGGGACACTGAACTCCCATGACCATCAGAAAATACTGGAAGGGTTAGGTGGGCATTGAACTTTAGTTTAGGAGTTGTAGTTCACCTACATCCAAAGAGCGCTGTGGACTCAAACAATGATGGATTTGGACCAAACTTGGCACGGATACTCAATATGCCCAAATGTGAACACTGGTGGAGTTTTGGGGAAACAGACCTTGACATTTGTGAGTTGTAGTTGCTGGGATTTATAGTTCACCTACAATCAAAGAGCATTCTGAACCCACCAAACCCCATGACCAACAGAAAATACTGTGTTTTCTGATGGTCTTTGGCGACCCCTCTGACACCCCCTAGTGACTCCCCAGGGGTCCTGACCCCCATGTTGAGAAATGCTGATCTAGACTTCTTGAAAGACATAAATGTGGGCCAAGGGCTATGCTATGTCACATGCTTCGTGTGTGAATAAATTAGGAGGCACAAAATACTATACACTAGTGCTACTCAAAGAGCTGTCTGCCTTGTGACTTTTCAGGAAAAAAAAACCAACAACAAACAGTTGTAATTAATGGGCACAGATATGATGGCACACTGGAATAAAAAAACAAAACCTGCTAGTTCTCCACACCAGATAGCCGGAAAGCAGTGACACAACCACTGTAAGGCCCTATTCCTAAAGTAAGAATAATCCTTTAACTATTTAAAAAACTACATTTATTATTATTATTATTATTATTATTATTATTATTATTATTATTATTAACTTTATTTGTACCCCGCTAACATCTCCCGAAGAACTCGATGCGGCTTACAAAGGCCAAGGCCTCAATAAAACAACAATACACATAAACCATAAAGCAAATCAAAACATTATAGCAATAACAGTAAACAGTAAAAACAGTACACCATAGCACAATAAAACTAAGGCTGGCCCAATTGAAAATGGGTACAGATTAAAAGTGCTGAGTATGACAGTTGAAATATAAGGATTTTTGGGTAAGTACAATGTACGGACAATCTTAAGTCTCTAGTAAAGTGCTTCTGGGACATATTGCTGGGGTTTCCTATTCTGGAAAGGCACACCGGAATAGCCAAGTCTTCAAGCTCTTCCTAAAGACATTTAGCATATCTGTTTCATTTTTCTTTGTCAATATTATTGTGTAATATATTTGTTGTGTGCCTTGGATTCACTAAAAGCAGAATTGCAGATATCACCGTTAGTACTAACAGAAAAAACCTTCAAAATATAAGGCACTTTAATATTATCTAGAAATTACTCCCAATCACATTCACTCAAAACTGAATACATCTCATCCTTGCTTTCAAGTCTCTCTTTTGCAGCGTTAAGTTGGTGACTTATGCTGTACATCAAGACAAAACCACCTAGCCAGTTTTCCAAAGGGAATGTTATTTGTTTGCACATGGGCAAGGGATGGAGGAGAGGTTCCTTATTTTTTAATCCGGGGATTCTGTGAGTACAGGTAAACATGCGCACGCATGCACGCAAACACACACATCTAATTTCTATCTTTTAAGGCCTGCTGCTTATAAACATTTGGCCGAGGCCAGAAGACATATTTTTCCTGCTAAAATACGTGCTTGACGGTTGCCGAGTGAATGTCCCCACCATGCCTGGCTTCCCTGCGTGAACTCCGACTATTTGCACAAACGGAACTAGAGCAACCCAATCCAAAATCAACATAATGCAAATGCCTAAAAGTAACATGAAGTTTTGCCTGCACATCCGGACTGAGGAACCACTGGTCATCCAGATGTCTGTTTAGCCAGGCTGTTTAGTGAGGGATATGAGGGCTGTATTTCCCATAATCCATTATTCCCAGTACAATGTGGTAGTCTTTGAATGTTCAATAATGGCTCTGAAGACCAGAGGAACGGGAAGAGGAAGGAAATTGCAAATCTCTGAATAATTCTTTCTAAGAATACCCTTATTATGAGGTTACTGTAAGCTGCTTTGAAGGCACCTAATAACAACACTGGGAGCCAGAACAGTGTACTGGTTTGAGCACTGAGCTGTGACACTGGAGAATGGGGTTGGATCCATTCTCATCCATGAAAACCCACTGCATGAACTTGGGAAAGTTATGCTCTCTTCCTAACAGGAGGGCAAAGGCATACTTCCTTGATAAAAACAAATCTTGGAAAGAAAAATCTGCAACAGGCTCATCTTAGGGTCCTCAGAAGTCAAAAATGACTTGAAGGCACACACCAACAAATTTAAATTACATATGACAGGACAATGGTTCTATGTCCCATTTATCTTTGATGGACGTATGCAGAAAAAATAGTGCTTTTGTCACCAAAAGTACTAAACCATCACCAGATATTTTACATCAAATTAAGGGGTGGACAACCTTTGGTGTTCTGGGGTCAATTCTAGTCATTCATCATCCACTGCAGGGTAGAAAAACAGAACTCTAAGTTGCTGGAAGTTTACTTCCAGTTTCACTGATGTTCCTATCTGTGCGTGAAACAAGGTGTGGAATTGCAGGTCACTGTGCCTGGTTATAAAGGAGAATAATCTTTCATTGATCTTTCCAGAAGTGGAAATTCTCTCTCATTTTTAAAGAACATTTTTGGTAAAGGGCTGCAGGGAGTGCAAAACTGGGCAGCAGGTTGTCTGCAACTCATAGTTGGTGTATTACTGCCCCCTGATGTAATCCAGGTGAGGCTGCAGACTATGGCAAATCAATCCAGAAAAGACGAAGAATCTATTAGTTGCTTATTTATTTACTTAGCTGGATAATGTTAAACAGAAAGGGTTGCTTGTCACCCAATTAATAAGACGTGGAATCTGTTATTACCCACTCACTCAGCCTAAGAGAAAAGAAATGGCTAGCCTCTTTATAAATAAATAAATAAATAAATAAATAAATAAATAAATAAATAAATAAATAAATCTTTGTTTATAGGCTGCCCTTTCTCTCCGAGGGGACTCGGGCGGCTTACATACAAAAAGAGGCAAATATTCAATGCCTTAATCAATTCAAAACACATCAGAATAACATAATACAAAATAACATGGAGAAACTTATAACAGAGGAGAAGAATTAACATTAAAATGAATGTTAATTGCCAAGAAAACCCTCTAAGATAGTTAATTTGAAGGCATCTAACAATAACACTGGGAGTCACGATAGTGGTTAGAGCACTGAATTACAACTTTGAAGACTAGAATCCCAATCCTTGCTTAGATATAGAAAGCCAATGAGTGGCATTGGGCATGACATACTCTTTCATTTTCTCACAAAGGCAAAGGAAAATCCTCTCTGAACAAATCTTGTCAAGGAAATCCCATGGAAGGGTCACCTCAGGATTGCAATCAACGAAAAATGACTTGAAAGCAGAGAACAATACAAGGACAACAACATGCCTCCGGGCTGTATTTGAAAATGGTCCAGAAAATTGCCAAGCCCAAAACAAGACAGCAACATGGCAAACTGGGGCTGGAGGACACTAACATTTTATGCTAGAGCTTTGTCCTTAAACACTTGCTTCTGTATTCAGTTAAAAAGGACCATAAGAACTTTCAAAGTCTTAAACGGCTTAGGGCGAGGCTATCTCAAAGGAATTACTCCTCCTTGACATCATTATCTAGGTGTCTCTCTGACACCTAAAAGGCAATATATCAATTACGTAAATAACATAAAATAAAATAAAAATGTTATGAGTTGGATACTAACAAAAGGTATATTTTTAGTGACAGTGCAGCTCAAACCCCAGTAAGGCAATATTTTTCCCCAACAGATTCAAATGGCTTATTCGTTTTTGCTAAATGACTGTAGGAAAGAGATACCCCAACCCCAAGGATATCTAACTGATGAAATAATGTTCTCCATGTTGGAACAAAGATTACGGTGTACCCAAGAAAGGAGCCTCAGCAACCTCCACATCTCACTGTGTCCTGTTAGTTACTAACAGTTGGATGTTTCTGCCTTTGCTGAGAGCTGCTTGCATGATGAGTAATTTATAATGAATGTAAAAACTTCATCCACTGCTAAGAAGGTTAAGAACAATAAACAGAAAAGACTGTCATGTTAAAAACAAACTTTAAAAATAAGTAGAGAACACAACACTCCTCCTCAACCCTTCCTCAGAAAAAATAGAATGTTATCTGATTCATACTTATTTACATGAAACAAAAGTGGTGTTTGTTGAAAATAATAGAATCATAAGAGTTGGAAGAAACTTCAAAGGCGGTCCATTTTGCCATGAGGGAACACACAATCAAAGCACTCCTGATAGATGGCTATCCAGCCTCTGCTTAAAAACCTCTAGAGGAGACTCCACCAAACTCCGAGGCAGCAGCATATTCCACTGCCAAACAGCTCTTACTGTCAAGAAGTTCTTCCCGAAATTTAGGTGGAATCTCTTTTCCTGCCATTTGTATCCAATGCTCCCTGTCCTATTCAGCAGAAAACAAGTCTGGCTCCACCTTCAACGTGACATCTTTTCAAATATTTAAACATGGCTGTTATGTCCCCTCCTGAACTTCTAAACATGCTTAGATCTCTAAGCTGCTCCTGGCGGGGCTTGGCTTCAAAACTTTTGATCATTTTGGTTGCCCTTCTCTGAACACATTCTAGCTTGTCAATATCCTTCTTGAATTGGTGACCAGGTTTCAAATTCCTGAAAACTACTGAGTGACTTTGGACAAATCATCCTCTCTCAACTTCACAGGTAGGCAAGAAATTTTGCCAAGAAAACCCTGCCAACCAGTTGGTATTTGGGTCACCATAAGTCTGATGTTTTAATGGAAGAAAATTAGAACAAACCCTGACCAGGTCTGCTTTCCACCTGGAAACTGATGTCCTCACTGTGGAAGAACATGCAGATCAAGAATAGGGCTCCACAGTCACCTACGTATCCACCACCAAGACACTACACTTGGAGGGCCATCATACTCAGACAAAGAGGGATCGCCTAAGGACCACAGATCAGAAATTACAACCACAAACCACACTTAAATCAAGATTTCAAATTGATAATAGATTCCTACTCTTTCCCCAGGTGAATGATCATTTGGAAGATGTTGGGTACAATATCTTTTCACAATACAATGAATAGTTATGTAACATCAGAATAAAACAACAACAAAAATGGAGCACAGAACTGTTACATACAAGTAGTGATGCCAGTGAACATCTCAGCAAATCTCGGGTCTCTCTCTTGGGTGAAGATAGCATCAGGCTTCTCCACTGGCTTCCCACTCTCATGAACATTTGATTGTATACTTGGAACAGGCACCTATTTTTGACACATATATGCAGAGAGAGATAAACACACAGAGGTCACACTTTATTAGCAAGTTTCTATATAAATAGCTCAAGTCTGTCTTCCAGGTTAACTTTCACAATGAACCTGCATCAACCTTTCTAGGTCTGGTGTCTTCTTGATATGATTATCATCCAGCATTGCAAAAAGGCTGATCTGTAGAGCGGAGTGGCTAACATTCAGAGATCTGTGAGCGCCATTAATGCAGTAAGATATTTCTCTGTCTTCCATAACACTATGAATTTTCGAATGAGAAAGCCAATTAATTAAGGGGTCTGACTAACCATTTTATTTATTTATTTACGACATTTATATGCCATCCTTCTCACCCCAAAGGGGACTCAGAGCAGCTTACAAGTAAAAGGTAAATACAATATATTATCATAGTACAATGTTAATATATATTACATTGTACAGTACTATAACATTATACTGTAATATTATTAGTAATATTACATTTAATATAAAATATATAATTATAATATCATTTTATTATTAGTAGTAGTATATTATATAATATTATCAATATTATATGTATATACAATATATTATATTATTACTTCATTCCCTTTCATCTGTCAATCCAACAAAGAAAGCACCCAGAACTTGTGTTTTGCTTCTGCTGTAATAAAATACAGACAGTGTAAAACACGCTACTTTTAACATATAGCCTGCACTTATCTCTTGTTTTAAATATTATAATAATAATAATAACAATAACAATAATAACAATAACTTTATTTATATTCCGCCCTATCTTCCCTGGGGTTGACTAAGGGCTGATTCGAACAAACAAAAAGGCAAATAATCAATACCTCAGTAACAGTAAATACAAATATAATAACCCAAAATAACCCCACATAAAGATCAACTTAAGCATAACTATAATTTAAATAAAACATAATCATTTGAAAATTATAACTTAACATAGAACTTGAACATAAAACATCCAAATTAATGTATCAAAACAACATGATATCTAGCAAGATATCTTATTTCCTGTCTAATTAACCAACCAGGTATATCTCACCTGTGATAACTCATACGATGACAGTCCATCTCTCTGGTGTACTTCAAGTTCGGCTTGCTGCTGCTGAAGTTGCCTGGAAATATATATCAAAAAGGTAGGACTGCGGATTCCTTTGAGACTATAGGTCTATATTTAAAACCCCACTCTTGTCATCAGGAATTTCTTTCTAATATTCTGGTGGAATCTCTTTTCCTGCAGTCTGAATCCATTGCCCCGTGTCCTAGTCTTTAGAACACCTTATTTTGGATTACATTTCCAAAGTGCCACTAGAGGATTTAAGAAGTTTTGGTGCAAAATGGATACGCATCAGGCTCTGGATAGTTTTAGATATGTTGCTAATTAAAGAAATTTCAGTTCATTCATAAAAAGATGATGTACTTTACTTTTAGGTATGTACATAGCATGAAGCAAACGCTCTAACCGTTCCTTTATCTATCTATATATATATAAATGATCTGTGCATAATGACTACCTTAAAAACAAAAGAACCAATGAACAAAATCACACCAAATTTGGCAACAAAATGTCTCACTACACAAGGAGTGACCATCAATCAAAAAATTTGTTTTGTCATTTGGGAGTTGTAGTTGTTGGGATTTATAGTTCACCTATAATCAAAGAGCATTCTGAACTCCACCAACAATGGAATTGAACCAAACTTGGTACACAGAACTCCCATGACCAACAGAAAACTGAAAGGGTTTGGTAGGCATTGACCTTGAATTTTGGAATTGTAGTTCACCTCCATCCAGAGAACACTGTGGACTCAAACAATGATGGATCTGGACCAAACTTGACAGGAATACTCAATATGCCCAAATGTGAACACAGATGGAGTTTGGGGGAAATAGACCTTGACATTTGGGAGTTGTAGTTACTGGTAGAACTTTAGTAGAACTTTATTTGTGTTGTGGAAACCTTGTTCTTGTAGATAGCACAACCATATTATTTTGCTATAAAGAAAAACCTCCTATGGAAGAGATAACATTGCTCTGTGTTTTTTTGTTCTTTTTATCACTTTGGGCTTCTAGTGCTGGGTCATGCTGCTGCAAATACATTACTCTGTTATATGTTTATGAGGAGGGTCTTCTTTTAATAAGCCCACTCGCCCAACCATTGTATACATACACGTATCAAATGTAATTGAAATCACATTTTCAAAATTGAAATGGGTCATCTATCATATCTGTTGAAACAGTTCTTACTTGATTGACTGACTATGCATCACAATCCTAGAATGAATTTATATCAATAAACACAGGGTATTAGTTACCTACAGAACTTAGAGAGATTATTTTGTTTGGACCAGTGGTTCTCAAACTGTGCTCCTCCCGGTATTTTGGACTTCCAGAAATCCCAGCCAGGTTACCAGCTGTTAGGAATTGTGGGAGCTGAAGTACAAAGACCTGAAGGAGCACAGTATGAGAAACTCTGGTTTGGACTATAGTTTCCCAAATTGCATTGGTGTGTGGCCATGCTGGTGAGAAAATTCTGGGATTTGTAATCCAAAAAAAGCAACTTTTATAAGCTGCTGTTACCCTGAGCTTGATTATTGCAGCATGCTCCATGTGGAGCTGTCTTTGAAATCTGTTCTAGATGATTATCCAACATCAGGGTTCTTAAAAACCAGAGTAAACTTTATCGAATTGTTGAACTGGTCATGTTTTCTTCCGGTAAAAGTCACACAAAGTTAATCATGAAAGGGAGAAGCAAAAGGTTTGTATACTGAACTTTACTTTGGAGCAAAATGTAACACAAAACCCTAAACACTACATGCCTTTCCTCATCAGGAAGTTCAGTTTGGATATCTGTGCCCAAAATAAACTACTTTTTGGAGGGAAATAACTGGACATTTGAACTTAATGGTGAGTTTTTTCCCCGTATAAAAAACAGATTTGGAAAACGAAGGATTTGCAGCTGGAAGGGAGCATAAAATAAACCAACGGACTATCATAATCAGCAGTGACCCCTACAGTTCCCTGTTTTTAAACCTATTTGAAAGTTTTAGAAAGCTTTTTTTTAAAAAAACAACAACCAACAAACCTGATTCTGTTTAGATATTCTTTACATTTTTAGCAAAGGAAATGTCATCTTTCCCATCAGAAACATCATTCACTAATAATTCTACAATTGTTATTTAAATAGATATGTTTTGTCTGTTTTGTATAACAGCACATCTCATAAGCTAGTAGATATCTTCAAAAATAACAGCATATTATGGGAGTTGAAAGTCCAGAACGCCTGGAGGGCCAAAGTTTGCCCATGCCTGTTCTAGCGCCTTCTGATATCTATAATTGCACAAAAGCACTGGCACCAATTTTCTAATAAAGAAGGAATGCCACATGCTTTTTCACTAATTTCCTAGAAGCGAACAACACAGCTGAGGATTCAGCAGCAGCCAATCTCCATATTTGGATAATGCAACCTGCTGTTGACAAAGTTAGATCCATTGAGAGTGAATATAACACAATCCAAGAAAGGCTATCCTCATTCATTTCTCCTAGAAAGCACTGCAATATTGATGTGCACAGCCCTGAAAGGAAAATGCTGGTAGACCAGAAAGCATAAGCTAATTTAGAGATAAGGCATTTGAAACTCTCTGGATAATACAGAAACAGAAGGTTGTTTAGGAATGTGAGCTCCCCATGCTTCTTTTAGTTTGCCAACGTAGAACAGACATTTATTTATTGGCAGATTTATAAGCCTTCTTTGGAATCTAATCAAAATCTGAAGATAGCTTCCAGACTACAACAAAAGCAGTGTTAAGGAAACATAAACATGCACACAGTCAGAAGCATAGAACAATTCATCTAAAGAAAAATGTAATACAGAGGTGAACCAACAAGAAAAGACTAAAAACAAACAAAACCACAATAAGTTCATTTATCTAGCTCCACAGCCTCATTATGCAAATGCAACTTTAAATAATCAATATAAGTGACCTGGAAGGTTTCCTTAGGACAGCGTTTCTCAACCTGGGAGTCGGGACCCCTGGGAGGGTCACGAGGGGGTGTCAGAGGGGTCACCAAGGACCATCAGAAAACACAGTATTTAGAACGCAACATGAAAAAAGGATATAATGACAGTTATATTAGAAGAGGAAGGCACTTGGGAAGTATCAAGCCACTTACTTTACATTCGTGTTGGTGCAGATGATGTATTCGATCTCATCTGAATAAGGGTTCTGAAAAGTGAAGCTGCTAGTCCTGATTAACATCCACTCCCGATTCTTAGTACGGAAACGATACATCACAGAGAGCACCTGGCCTTTCAGCTTCACAACCTGTAGAAGCCATTGGAAAAGTCAAGGTGAAAACAGTTGTGGTGATTAATTACATATAACTCAGCTGTACATGTTCCACTAGTAGGGTGTGACCCAACTGGGTTAATGTGTAGGACCAACGAACTGGTTGCTGAATTTAATACACCATGAATTATCACTGACTATGGCAAACCCTATCAGATGCAGTAATGTAAGACTGAATTTCCCATAGTGCATAGCTGGGGAAAGCCAGAGAGTGGTGTTCCATGATATTCAAACTCTGGTTTCTAGAAAATAATGACAAGTACCATATTCGTTCGTTCGTTCGTAACAGATTAGGGAGCTGCGGTGGCGCAATGGGTTAAACCCTTGTGCCAGCTGAATGGCTGACCTAAAGGTCAGCGGTTCAAATCTGCAAGATAGAGTCTGTCAGCCCTAGCTTTCCATGTGGGGACATGAGAGAAGCTTCCCACAGGATGGTAACACAACTGGGCATCTCCAGGGCAACGTCTCTGCAGATGGCCAATTCTCTCACACCAGAAGCAACTTCCAGTTTCTCAAGTTGCTTCTGATACGATTTTTTAAAAAAACAAACAGATTGCTTCCAGGGAACTAGAATCTCAAGTCCCACTAGAAGGAGGGAACTTTTACAGTTCCCAGAAATGTGGTAAAGCAAAACCAAGGGAGATCAAGCTCTGACTTCAATCCAATGAGACATATCCTTTCAACAACAACTTTCTACTGCCACACCCCAAAATGGGATCATAAATAAAAGAGAAATGGTGTGTGAATGGCCAACTGAAGAGTTTCCTAATGGATATTAGACAGCCACCCTTGCCAGCATTGATATAAAAACCCGCTTGTTGTTCTTGGCCTCCAACTGTTTTGTCCAAACTTAATTTTTCCCACCATAATGAATGACTTTATCTTCTCCAGGCAGTAAAAACTTTGAAACAGATACTGGCAACTGGCCAAACATTGCAAAATCCCTCCCTGGATGGGCTTTGTCTGATAAGGCCAGCAGTTCAAAACTGCCCGGTTTTCAGTGGCCCATCGCATATTCATTACTCTTGGAATAAGGTATCAATTACCTCAAGTCATTCTTAAAGAGCTACTGTAATAACAAATCACAGATCTTATGACAACAGCGACAGAAAGGGTAACAATGCTTATCACAATGAACAGAGAACTATTGCCTCTCTGCCACGCATTTTGGAGACCAAAAAGCTGAGACTTTCAATAGGCAAATATCCCAAATACTACAAAAGATTTCTAGAATCTTCAGGGGAGGGAGATTTTTAAAAGAAAGAAAAAAAGAATGAAGTTTATATTGTTGCTTTTCAATCCCAGGAGTCAAATCAGTTGGGAAGCCTGGCAGCACCGTTATACAATTCTCTCTGCTGGAAAAAGGAGGCTTTGTGCTTGCAGTGATCCACATCTTACTTTTTGACTATATAATTCAACCGACATTGTATTAAAATACAGAAGAAGGGACTGGGTGTAGAATATGTAATACAATGAAATCAAATGAATATGCAGAGCATTACCTGTTGGAAGCTCTCCCTCAAATGGTTTTGATCTTCTGGGTGGCAAAATTCTAAAATGTCTTTCCCCAAAAGGTCCTAAATCATCCAAAAAAGAGAAGAAAGTAAGAAAACATTAAAAAAAAAACCACCCTACAATATACCTACAAAAGGACCAGTCTGGGTAAGCTTCGGGGTGTGTAGAGCACATTTTATTTATTTATTTGTTTGTTTGTTTATTTATTTATTTATTATTTGAACTTATATGCCGCCACTCCCCTGGGGCTCGGAGCGGCTTACAAGAACAGGCTAAAATCTAACACAATTTAAAAACAATTTAAAACAATTTAAAAACAACAATCAAAGATCAAAGGCCTGTCGAAACAGATATGTCTTACATGCCCTGCGGAAAGCTGATAAGTCCTGCAAGGCACAGACTTCAGGTGGCAGAGTATTCCAGAGTGATGGTGCCACTGCTGTGAAGGCTCTGCGTCTGGTTGCTGTTAGACGCAAGGTCTTGACACTGGGGACTTCCAACAAATCTTGGTCTTCAGAATGAAGGGATCTCTGGGGTTGGTAGGGGGTGAGGTAGTCCCTCAGGTATATCGGCCCCAGACCATGCAAGGCCTTAAAGGTGAGTACCATCCCTTTGAAAGTGATCTGGTGCTCAATTGGTAACCAATGCAGCTGCAGTAAGATTGGGGTGATGTGGCATCTCATCGGAATTCCCGCAAGAAGCCGAGCAGCTGCATTTTGTACCAACTTGAGCTTCCGGATCACCGACAGAGGAAGGCCAATGTAGAGGGCGTTACAGTAGTCCAGTCTTGAGATGACCGTAGCCTGGATCACCGTAGCTAGGTCGTCCCTGGACAGGGAGGGGGCCAGCCGTCTAGCCTGCTGCAGGTGAAAGAAGGCGGTTCTGCTCACGGCGGAGACCTGGGCCTCCATTGTCAGCAGAGGGTCCAAAAGGACTCCCAGACTCTTTACCAATGATGACGGGCGTAACACCTCGCCATCCAGGGTGGCAGCTGGATGTCCCCACTGCCCGGTCCACCCAGCCATAGGATCTCCGTCTTTGCTGGATTCACCCTCAACCTGCTGGCACGCAGCCATCCAGTCACGGCCTCGAGGCACTGATGGAAACAATCGGGTACAGAGTCCGGTCGGCCTTCCATCTTCAGCACCAGCTGAGTGTCATCAGCGTACTGGTAACACTCAAGCCCAAAATCTCGAACCAGCTGAGCAAGTGGTCGCATATAGATGTTAAACAACAGAGGGGAGAGAATGGCCCCCTGAGGAACCCCACAAGAGAGAGGGGACCTCTCAGAGACCAGGCCTCCCCTCTCCACTCACTGTCCACGGTTGTGAAGAAAGGAGGACAGCCAATTTAAAGCTCTCCCCCTGACTCCAACAGCAGCAAGGCGGAGGGTCAAAAGATTGTGGTCGACTGTGTCAAATGCTGCTGTGAGATCCAATAACACAAGCAGCGCAATCTGTTTGCATCAGGTTAGGGGACATTCATGCACGATCTAAAAATGTGGGGATAGTTCCTGGGCCCTCCAGACACTTTCTTATATTTCACCATAACCCCTCCATAAAAAAAGAAATAGGAAGCAAACTCCCAAATGTCCCACCGTCTGTCAAAACAACAAACCTGTGGTTGGTAGCCAATAACACTGATACATCTTGGATCAACAAAGGTGATGATTCCATCTGAGTTATGTCTGGACAAGAATTCTGTGGGGGCCGACATGCCATTCATGTCCATGCACACCGGGGAACTTGTCACCTGGAAGGAAGAATAGGAGACGCCCAGTTCCAAGAAATGGAGGGAAACTTCAAGACATCTCAGTAGTGTTTCTCACTTTCAAAAACAAGGGTGGACAAATGTAACCTTCCAGATGATTTTGGCTTAATGTGAAACATTCAAGAGCCTAACCCTATGTGAGGAATCCATACATTATAGGAGTACAAACTGGTATAAATTAAAGGTGAACCAAAGAAATGTCACACATTTCCCTATGAAGACTTCAAGAACCTCTACAGATGGAAAGGTGGGGAGATATCCGCCTTCAACTCTGCCTGTGGGACTCCTGATGGGCATGTAATTCACCCCCAATCACTTTTCATCCATCTATCCTCTCACCATTTTCTCTCTCTTCTGTATTCTCTTGCTTTTTAAATTCATGGGAAATCAGGCATCATAGAACAACAAACCAGCAGAGTTTTGTGATACATTTCCTCTGGTCCTAAAACAACTTCTGATACTTCCTGTCTTATTCTTTCTGGGAAAGAGTCATTCATACTATAAAACAATTTCAACAACCTAAAATAATTGCAATGCTAAAGTGTAAGTCTAATGTCAATGTCAATCAGGCAATCTGCTGAGCAATTTCTTTTGGAGTGGAGCAGAATCTAACTTGTAATGAACTTTTGTTCAGGGGTAGCAAAACTCTACAAACTCACAACTCCCCATTTTTATAAAATAGATGTGCACAACCTTAAGGCAATTGCCCCCCCCCCCCCCAAAAAAACCCCAGTAAATTTTACTGATTAGCCCTTAGGCCATATTGCAATACCAAACAATGTAAGACTTGATTACACTCTAATTAGTAAGTTAAATAAAACACTTACAATACTGAAAATAAATATGATAAAACTGAACATACACATCATATTTCCTTATCACCCCTACAACTTACTCCGACCAGCCCCACGCATGTGGTTCTCAAACATAGTGTTTTACTTAAATACAGAGCTGTTTTATATGTTATTTTTGGGTCTTGGCCACACATAAAATACGTTGTTCTTATGTGAGATTCCCAATAAATTATCCATTTGATAGATGAACCAAGGTACAAATCTCTCACCTTCTTATACAATTTACAATATGTGTGCTATATCCTATATGGTCCAAAAACCTTACCCAAATACTCCTTAATGAGCGGAACATGCCTACTTCCGCAATATTTCTTTATTTACTATATTTCTTACCCGCTCTATCTCGCCCCGAAGGGGACTCAGAGTGACTTAGCAGTATGGCAATATTCAATGACACATAAACAAAGCAAATATCCAATACAATACAACATGACACAATTACACTGGCAATAAAATAGATAAAACGTTTAAATACAATAGAAACCGTTATCTTAGCCAGGGCTTATTTTTGTGGTAGTAGGGCTTATATTATGGGCATCATTTTAGGTCTCATTTTCAGAGGAAAAAGGATAGTAATAATACAGGGTTTCCACTGGCGAATAGATTTCGGACCCTGGTGTACTGCCCTAATGGTGCAATTCAGACTTTTCAGTGCATAGACAACAAAAAGGATGGGGCCCGACTCACTATCTTCATATTTAGCCATACACTGGCCAAGCTCGCAAACGGAAGGTACCTCATGTCATTTCTGGTCATTATTTGGACAAATATGGGGTACTTTTCAGACGGAACAGGTGGGAGCAGTTTGGAATGGCATATGTGTAAAGAAGGCTCTTGTCCCAGTTGCCCACTCCTGTGCTATATGAAAGAGACAGGATGAGTGCCTAGATTCCCTTTTTAGGCATGCCGGGAGAATATTGCAAAGTTGCAAGAATATATATCAGCAGGGTTTAAATGTTCTGCCCAATCCATATTTTGGGCAGAATATTTAAACTCTGCTGATAGTATATTCTAAAACTTTAAGACAGAAATGAGAAAAGTTAGGTTACTGAAATATGATTCCCAAAATCTCAAGCCAAGATGCCCAGAGAAAATTGCTGCTGTAAAAAAGTAACTTTTCTAAGCCTCTTTAAGAGCAATGTACAATGTCTGTTGGTCGCAATGAGATGGAGCCTAGCAAATGGAGAGAGTAATGAGAGCAATAAAGACTTTATGAGAAAATCTGTGAATTATTTTCAAGGTCACGAGGAAGTTCGCTTTTCGGTGACCTCTCCTCCACACCCCACGGTGCCAGATGGGTTTCTCAGGCACAAACAGCACGTATGATGTTTCTTTTCGTTAACATTGTCCTCTGAACAGCAAGAGTGTCCGGATGCCAATCTGAGGAGTAAGGAAGTCACTGGCTTCCAGCTGGATGATTTACTTCCCAAGGGGAAACGAGTTCATAATTTATGCTCCCTCCACCCCATGGCAACTTCTTTATGATTAAATCTACCCATCTCCCATGTATGCGAGGACTTCCGCTGTCACTCACAGCATTCCTTACATAAGAGAGATGTCATTGCTCTGTAGGCAAGAAGATGGATTTCTCAATAACAGTTTATTTTGGCAGCTGTTATCATCTGCAAAAGAGTCGCCTTGCTCCACACATGTCTACTTCTTTGCCTTTCAACTTAATTGGGATTCTCATTGCAATAAATAGAAGTTCCAAAGAGGGTAGACATTGGAAGGAAGGCCTGAAAAAGGCAACCTGCTCTATTTCTGTAGATTGCCCTCTTTACCCAGTGATGTGGGATCTGATGTGATCAGTTGTTCACCCGGTTGTTAACCCCAGTGACGCAATGAGTTAACCCCAGTGACGCCCTTGTGCCAACAGGACTGAAGACCGACAGGTCGATGGTTCGAATCCAGGGAGAGCACAGATGAGCTCCCTCTGTCAGCTCTAGCTCCCCATGTAGGAACATGAGAGAAGCTTCCCAAAAGGATGGTAAAACACCAAAAACATCTGGGCAGCATCCTTGCAGATGGCCAATTCTCTCACACCAGAAGCAGAAGCAACACCGGGATTGTGGCGCAGCTGGCTGAGTGTCAGCTGCATTAAGATCACTCTGACCAAAAAGGTCATGAGTTTGAAGCCAGCCCGGGTTGGAGTGAGTTTCCAACCAATTGTGTGTAGCCTGTTGTCGACCTTTGCAACCCGAAAGACAGTTGCATCTGTCAAGTAGGAAAATAAGGTACCACCTTAAAGTGTGGGGAGGCTAAATTAACTGATTTATGAGGCCATAAAGAAGACTCCAGCAAAGCATTCCAGCGGGGAAGCATGCGGGAATGCGGAAGTGCTTCATCAGCGTCGCAGATGGACGATGAAAGCGTCAGCTCCCCTGGTGGCCAGAAAAAGTTAAATAGCCTCTGTCTATGTATGTATATGTTTGTATGTCAAATATTGGCATTGAATGTTTGCCATATATGTGTACACTGTAATCCGCCCTGAGTCCCCTGCGGGGTGAGAAGGGCAGAATATATAAGCTGTAAATAAATAAAATAAATAAATAAACTTGCAGTTTCTAAAGTAGCTCCTGACATAGAAAAAAAGAGTTGTTAACCAACAATTCCCAATGCTGCTACTTCTCCAGAGTGGGAAGACCCTGATTCAGTTAAAGAGTATCTATGGCTTCAATTCTTGACTCTTCCAGGTACAGCTGGGAAGGACTCTGATGTGAAAACCTGGAAACTAATGGACAGTATTTCTTTTTCTTCACTGCCTTTTCCCTGAAAGTTAGGCTTGAGTTAGAATAAAGAGTAGTGCAATGTTTGTGTTGGACTAGGACTCTGGAAGTCCAAATTTCAAATCCCTATCTGCCAGGAAAACCCACTGCGTGATCCTGGGCAAGTCACACTCACTCTTGGCATCAAAGGAAGGCTATGGAAAACCTTCTCTAAACAAATCTTCCTGTAAAACACTTGTGATGGGTTTACTTTAGTCAGAAACAACCTGAAGGTTCATAACAACAACAACAACATCCAATAAACAGACATCCCCAGACCCGAACAGATATAACTGGCTGAAGCTCCCAACATTTTATAATCACTGGTAAATATATGACTATACGATGTGTATCCCCCTCCCCAAAGGGTTTAACACCACAATATTAGCCAGTCTGTACTGGGTTTGCACTGGATGTTTGACTGGCATTTTTATACCCTGGTTTTCAGCCTCAGAACCTCTTACAAATTATTAATTTGACAGTTTCCTGCCTTCATGTTGACAATTTTAATACAACATCACACACTAGGAAAAGGGGAGGACGACATGAAGTTCAGCAGTATTTTTGGTTCCTCTCTCCCTCTGAGACCTGGGCAATGGCAGCTGGGGCAGAAGGAGGTCCTTTAATCAGTTGTTGATACCTATTTCTCTAATTAAAGGAAATATTATGTATATACTCGGTTTTACCATATCTTATCATATTTATTTACTGTATTGTTAGAAGTGTCTTATTTTAACTTTCTACATAGAGTGCAATCAAGTCTTATCAAGCCTTGTTGTTTGGTTTGGTATTGTGATATGGCCTAAGGGCTAATCAATAAAATCACTACTACTTCTAATTAATGCTGAGATTTTAAGTGAAAATCAACAATTCACACAATAATTTACTGAAGGTATTTAGAAGTATAAAATGTCTTTACCTGCAGCCTTCCTATTGCCACCAGACAATACTTGCTGCCTTGCCCCACCTCGGCATCTTCTTCTGGCAGAGCCATTCCTAAAGACAACCCAACAATTAAAATGATATATACATATATACACACAGAGACAGACAGCTGATATGTATCCTTTGTATTCCATCCATCCCCACTGTATGCCTTGTTTTTGTTTTGTGTATTTTGATATGTATTTTATGGAGATATGCTTTAATATGTGTATTTTGGGGGGTGTTTTAAAATGATTATGTGTTTATGTTTTAGTAATGCTGTAACCCATTTTGAACTGTGAGGAGAGGCGGGCAAGAAATAAAACTATCATCATCATCATCATCATCATCATCATCATCATCATATTTTCTCAACAACCACACTACAAAGTTGGTTACAAAAATAAATAATTCAAGAGAGATATTGACAAGCTGGAATGTGTCCAGAGGAGGGCGACTAAAATGATCAAGGGTCTGGAGAACAAGCCCTATGAGGAGCGGCTTAAGGAGCTGGGCATGTTTAGCCTGAAGAAGAGAAGGCTGAGAGGAGATATGATAGCCATGTATAAATATGTGAGAGGAACCACAGGGAGGAGGGAGCAAGCTTGTTTTCCGCTTCCCTGGAGACTAGGACGGAACAATGGCTTCAAACTACAAGAAAGGAGATTCCATCTGAACATGAGGAAGAACTTCCTGACTGTGAGAGCCGTTCAGCAGTGGAACTCTCTGCCCCGGAGTGTGGTGGAGGCTCCTTCTTTGGAAGCTTTTAAACAGAGGCTGGATGGCCATCTGTCGGGGTGATTTGAATGCAATATTCCTGCTTCTTGGCAGGGGGTTGGACTGGATGGCCCATGAGGTCTCTTCCAACTCTTTTTGATTCTATGATTCAATGATTCTATAAATGATCTCATGTCTCTCTGTATTCACGTATGTACCAACAATTCAGCCAAGAACACCTTTGAGCAGATCAGCTCTGAATATGAAGCTTTGGACAGGAAGCTGAAGGCACCTGAGGCACAAGTGGTATTCTTGACAATTTTGGCAGTGAAGGATACAGGACTAAACTGGGACAAGAAGATACTGGAAGTGAGTGAAATGTAAGCCATGTAGATGCTAAAGAAGGGCTGCACCTCAGGAAGACTCGAAATAACACTACTCAAACTGTATTAATTCTACAGTGTAGATGCACACGTAGAAAAAGAACATTGAAGTCAAACTGCAGGAAAAGAGATTCTACCTTAACCTTGGTAAAAACTTCCTGATGGTGGGAACTATTAAACAGTAGAATGTGCTGCCTTGGAGCATAGTGGAATCTTAATAATAATAAAAAAAATAATAATAAACCTTTATTTATACCCCGCTAACATCTCCCGAAGGACTCAGTGCAGCTTACAAGAGGCCGAGGCCCAACACATCAAAAAACAACAGCATAACAAATACAACAATAAATAAACTCATAAAACAGGCAATAAACATTAAAACAATAGCAATTAACATTAGACAATAACACCATGACACATTTAAAACTAAGGCCGGGCCAATGTAATAATTAAAATTTAAAATGCTGGGCATGACAGGTGAAATGGATAGGTTTTAGGAGATAGGTACGGTGTGCAGACAATCTTAAATCTCTAGTAAAGTGAATCTTCTTCTCTGGGTTTTTTTTTTAAAGAGAGGCAGGATGGCCACCTGTTAGAAATGCTTTGTTTGTGCGTTCCTGCAGGGCAGAGGTTTGGATTGGATGGCCTTTATGGTCCCTTCACATTCTGTAATTCTAAAATTCTATAGTACGGTCCCTAAGAAAGCCAATCAGGAATATTGGGCTTTTTACAAAACAGGATAATCTGATATCTCAGTTCTTGTGGGTTTTTTCGGGCTATATGGCCATGTTCTAGAGGCATTTCTCCTGACGTTTCGCCTGCATCTATGGCAAGCATCCTCAGAGGTGAGGACCTCACTACCTCTGAGGATGCTTGCCATAGATGCAGGCGAAACGTCAGGAGAAATGCCTCTAGAACATGGCCATATAGCCCGAAAAAACCCACAAGAACTGAGTGATTCCAGCCATGAAAGCCTTCGACAATACAATCCTGATATCTTTTAAAGGAATGGAATACAAACATCAATAATACAGCACGAAAACCTGCTTCTCCTTTTGCCTGTGGATCCCTCCACATACTTTCCAGTACTAATAGTAGGCATATGAGGGTCCTTTTGCCAAGTTTTGAGGGATGGCTTGGTTCTTTTATGTCCAAGGGAGGACTTTGTTTAAAACCAGAAGTGACTTCTGAGTCACTTCCTATTTTTCAAAGACTCTCCTGAGGGGAGTGGGTGGATATGGAAAGTCAAAAACGCAGCAAATTTGCCATCTCCCCCAAGAATGAGGTACTTTGAACAAAATATATCTTTTTTGAAAGTCGATGGCATATAGGAAACACTCCTCCGTGGTCTGCAGAGTGTTATACACAATGTGGAGTTCTTGGGTTGCTGCCCACCCAAGTCTTAGGAGTATCCCCACAGTGGTCTTGCTTCACTGCTTTCAACTGTAAAAATAAGTACTCTAAAGTTTCTATTTATACACAAAATATACACAAAATCAAATCAGCAACATATTTTGTCATACTGAAAGGAAATAGCAGACTAAAAAATATGTGGGTGTTTCATTATGCTTCATGTGTTTCAACATTCTAGTGGGATTTAATGTCATAAACATGAAAACAATACACAGGCATGTCAGGATACTATTTTTGGTGCCTTGAGGTTACACAAACATCAGTTGTTTGGTACATTTGCTTACTGCTCTTCTAAGTCTTTAAGTAATTCAATTTCCTAAAGTTTTGGGACATCAATTTTCTATAAATACTTGAGTGATGTTAAGGTTTTTAAAACCCTGTTTCCCCAGAGCATCTTGGATTTATGTCACATCTCCATGATGCAACATTGAAAAACATATTTTGGCAGACTAGTCAATTTAAATAAAAAGTAAACTAAATTTCCCCAGAAATTTAAGTCAAAGGATGTTAACCCTATTTAGACAAGAGGTGTGTTGCGCATGTTGTAGTCAAGAAACAAATCCTATACTGATTATTTTAGACTGAGTTCCATTTGTTGTAGTAGTTTAGTATCTTATACTAAGAAAAAAACTATTTTCATGGTATTTTTTTTTGTGGGGGAATGCTGGTTTTTTTTTTTTTTTTTGGGTTTGTGTAATTTGTTTCTCTGTATATGTTTCTGGAAGGAGCACCTTTTCACCTGTATGTGTCGGTTTGCTGGTGACTACAGTTTTAAACTAGGGTTTCTTAACCTTTTTGGTTCCATGGAGCCCTTTGCCAATCGGGTGAAAACCATGGACCCATTATCAGAATGTAGAGGCATGTTGTTTTAGGGTATTCAACACTGACATGTCTTTTAATTACATTTCAGTTTGCACACAGCAGAACTGTGATCACACGTGATCTAGCGTCGGGCTGTAAGCAATTACTCTAATTTCAATGTATAGATGAGAGTAAGCACATTTTTGAAACTATAATGTGATATGAAATAAATACTACTGGTGAATTATTTTATGCATTCATAAGTGAAGGAAATGCAACATTTCAGTTGGAAGCCAGAGAAAATAAAGATGATAAGTTCATTTGCTTCTATTCAAGCTTACAGTCCCCCTGAAATTCTTCCCTTCCCTCTTTGAAAACTACAAAACCTTAAGGATGAGGCATTTTCACTTGCCTCATCCTTTGACAAGCAAAAACAAAACAAAACAAAACATATATATATGAGTAGAAGAAAAAATGAGTGTTCTACAGTTGCTAAGCTGTAAACAAAAAAAGCCTTGTGTTCAAATTTAATCAGTTTTTATAGATTTTAACTGTAAACTTTAGTATCATTAATATTTTATATAAATTTATAATGTTTGTATATTTGCAGATTTTAAATTGTACTGAAATGCGTTTAATTTAAGCCACTTTAAGTCTCCTTTATGAAGAGAAAATGCAAATTATAAATAAACATAAACATTATAATAATACCTCTTCCACAGAGATTTATAAGAGCCCATTATCTCTCAGCCTCACAGCCAGGGTGAAAAGTGGAGGCAGCTTCTAGAACATTAATTATTGTGTTAATGTTCCAGAAACATAGAATCATCAAGTTGGATGAGACCACAAGGGTCAATCACTCTAACCCAATTATACCATGTTGACCCACAGAAGAAAGCCCGGACAACTTAGGGACTTTTTTTTTTACTTCCAGGACTCATAGTTTGGTGGGCCAAATCCACCCTTCCCCCCATACCCACTGTTATGTTATTTTGATTTTTCAAGAGTTCTGGAGGGAAGAGGTTTCATGTTGAGCTTGCAAGCCACCTGCCCCCAAACCCAACAAACATACAAAGTCTACCACACATAATGGTCTCTGATAATAGGGGAAATCCTTCTTCCATTTTTTCCACTACAGAGGAACATGGGGGTTCTTAGGGTGCTATGTGTAGCCCAAGGACTGTACTTTTCCACTCTCAATTCAAAGGGATATATTCCAGAAATATGTGAATGGGATTGCAGGCTATAACTGGAAACATTTTTTGGAGTGCTGGAAAGGGATCAGAACATTTGTTCAAACCCCGTTGTGCCAGTTTTTGCTGGAAAATATGTAGGGTAGTGTTTGCAGAAAGCATTAAAAATGACAATTTTCCCCCAAGGCCATCTCCAACCATTCTCCAGATTGATTGAATTAGATAGGAATGCAATCTAAACATGTATACTATCATTAAGATATTGGTTTGGACTACAATTTCCATCAACCAAAGTTTCGTATGATCGTGCCAGGAGCGACTTGAGAAACTCCAAGTCGCTTCTGGTGTGAGATGGCTGTCTGCAGAGACATTGCCCAGGGGACGCCTGGATGTTTTGCCATCCTGTGGGAGGCTTCTCTCATGTCCGCACATGGGAAGCTGGAGCTGACAGACAGGAGCTCACCCCATCTCTCAGACTGGAACCACCAACCTTCAGATCAGCAGTTCAGCCAGCACAAGGGTTTAACCCATTGCGCCACCACAGCTCCAACTAATGTTAAAAACA